GTGTGTGTGTGTGTGTGTGTGTGTGTGTGTGTGTGTGTGTGTGTGCGGGGCGGGGGTGTCTGCCGCAGATAACAGCAGGCAGGAGGACGAGGAGGAGAGTGGTGGGCTTACATTTAATTTTATCTGACTTATTTAGTTGAATTATTATTGTTTTTATCGTCCTGCAGGCTCTGAGGGAAAATTAATTTGAAGCTGAGTTTTTTTTATTAAAATCGTTAGATTACTCTAAAGCAAAATGAGGGAAAATCTGTGTCAGTTACAGACATTCTGTTCACGTGGGCAGCTGTCAGTCAGCACCTGTCAACCTCCAGACACAGGACGCAGCGTGTCTGAACCAATCACTTTTGTTGACATTGTTCAGCTGACTTAAATTGACGTGATTTAAATACATCTTAACATTCATGAGGTACTTTGCATTGACTGTTTATGGTTGAGTGTGGGCATGTAGAACCTGAGGTGGGACCTCGTGCACAAACTCTGGCGTGCGGCTGTGATTTATAAAGGAAAGGTGTGCAGAAACGTGCGTACGCACTGTTTTATAAATCTGAAATTTTTTTGGCGTACGCCATTTCCGCCTTTTGGCCGTACGTTCACTTTTAGTATGGTTTCCACGCAATCCTTTATAAATGAGACCCCAGGACAGTTAAGTGTCACCAAGTACCAATCCTGATGGTTGAGTAAAGTGCTCTATATTGACACATAGTCATGCTAATGTAGTCAACAGTAGCAGATAAGTCTCTACTAAATATTATTCCTACAAAACAAAACAAGTAAAAACATTGATGTAATGATAAAATTTAAATTACTGCAACCCACAGTGAAGTTAACCGTATTCAGGATTTATAGTTGTTAAAATTTATAATAACTGGAGTAAGAGAAACATGAGATTCATGGTTTGTACAACTTAAATTTTAAAGTTACTGCTACTTTCATGTGAAGTAGAAGACTCATCAAAGAAAGTTCTTACAACCTGAATTTTTAAGTTTCTACAACTTTTGGTTGAGTTACAAAAACATGGAAATCAAAGTTTGGCCAATTCAAAAGCGAAACTTAGTTAAGTTGATGTCCAAAACTTAAAAATGCCCTGACGTTTGTTGCCTCACAATTTTGAGTTCTGACAACTTTTCTTTTTTTACGGTGCTGTACTGCTTTAGCTATTAGACACTGTTTTGTTTTAGACTGTAGTTCTATTTTTACTAGTTTTAAATTTTAGCTACTGCTTTTCTAGTGTTAGGTTTTAGCTACTGTTAGGTGATTTTAGCTTTTATCAACTGCCTTCAATTTGATTGTTTTAAATTAGAACATTTCACTTTCAGCTTTGTCAACAAATTTTGACAGTGTTCAACACTGACACAGATTTTTTTCTGTAGTTACTTTTTGTTTTTCTCACCAGTAAGTGCTCATGTTTATTCAAATGATCAAGACACCATCTTCTACATCCTTATTTACCTATTTTATTCATCAAAAGTAGAGATATCACTCATGTGGTAATGATTTTGCTCAACCAACACTCAGTGGTAAATGTGTCTTACTCTGTTTGTGCCCTCTCTTTCCTCCTCGTAAGCCACATCTATCACTGGAGCTTTCAGGGCCTGGCAGGGACCCTCACTTTATTAAAAGTCACTGAGATCCACTCTTTGTGTTTTTTGCAAGTGCCAGAAACGTTTTATTCCTCTTACTTAGTAACAAACTTGCATTTTTGGAAGAAACACTAAAAACTGTTTCAAAAGCTCTGTAAATCTAATAAACTGTGCTTTTTAATAAATCTTGTTTTTACTAATGGTACCCACAATCGTCAGTACTATTTTTTATG